GAATAAAAAAGGGGGGGAAACCAAAGTTGCTGAGAGTTATTAAAAAAAAAGAAAAACCCAGCATGGCCCCTTTATGAAATGCTTTTCAGGATTTTTGGCCCCAATAGGCTGCTGGTGGCGTCCACCATCTTGTCTTCCTGCTCCGGGCCAGACAGCTCCCCTGTGGAACCAGGCAAGCACCTGGGATTTTCGCCTCCCGGGAATAAAAAAGGGGGGGAAACCAAAGTTGCTGAGAGTTATTAAAAAAAAAGAAAAACCCAGCATGGCCCCTTTATGAAATGCTTTTCAGGATTTTTGGCCCCAATAGGCTGCTGGTGGCGTCCACCATCTTGTCTTCCTGCTCCGGGCCAGACAGCTCCCCTGTGGAACCAGGCAAGCACCTGGGATTTTCGCCTCCCGGCCGGGAAAAACATCAGAAAATACCCGACCGTTCAGGACATTTCAGGTGTCCGGTGTTTTCTGAATTTTTTTTGGAGAGGAGGTGAAAATACCGGACTGTCCAGGTCGATACTGGACGCCTGGCAACCCTAGCCAGTGTGCTGTCTGCCGCCAGCAGCCAATGCCAGGTGCCCAGAGGGAGTGAACAGAACCGGGAATCAGCCAGTGACCCAGTCCCAGCCTTGACAGACAGGCCAGGGACACTCTCCCTGCCCAGCCTGGCTAACAGCCCCTGATGGACCTGATCTCCATGAATCTAGCTAGCTCTTTCTTTAGCCCTGTTATAGCTTTGACCCTCACAACATCCTCGGGGCAAGGAGCTCACGAGGCTGAATGTGCATTGTCTGAAGAAAAACTTCCCGTGGTTTGTTTTAAACCTGCTGCCTGCTCATTTTGCTGGGTGACCCCTAGTTCTTACGTTACGGGAACAAATCAATAACTTTTCCTTCTTCACTTTCTCCTCACCAGTCATGATTCTATAGCCCTCTGTCCTAGCCCCCCTTAGCTGTCTCTTTTCCAAGCTGAAAAGTCCCCGTCTTATTAATGTCTCCTCAGATAGCAGACATTTTGACCCCATCATTTTTGTTGCCCTTTTCTGAACCTTTTCCAGTATCTTTTTTGAGATGACGCGACCACACATCATGCAGTATTCAAGATACAGATGTTCTCCCTCTTATTCTCTATCCCTTTTTAAATGATTCCCTCCATCCTGTTTGCTTGTTTGACGCCTGCTGCATATGGAGTGGATGTATCACAATGACTCCAAGATCTCTCTCGCGTGGTTACAGCTAATTTAGTGCCCGTCATTTTATACATGCAGTTGGGATGATGTTTTCCAATGTGCATTACTTTGCATTATAAACATTACATTTGCCATTTTATTGTCTAGTCACCTAGTTTTGTGTTATCCTTTTGAAATCTTCTTTGGTCTTAACTACCTGGAGCAATTTGGTATCATTTGCAAATTTTGCCACCTCCGTTTACCCCTTTCTCCAGATCATTTATGAATGTGTTGAACAGGAGGAGTCCCAGGACAGACCCTTGGGGGACCCCACTAGCTACCTCTCCCCACTCTGATAACTTAACATTTACTCCTACCCTTTGTTTCCTGTCTTAATTGGTTACCAATCCACGAAGGACCGTCTCTCTTATCCCATGACAACTTACTGTACTTAAGAGCCTTTGGTGAGGGACCTTGTCAAAGGTTTTCTGGAAATCTAAGTGCACTATATCCACTGGATCCCCCTTCTCCACATGCTTTTTGACCCCTCAAAACCTCTAGCAGATTGGTAAGGCAGGATTTCTCTTCACAGAAACCATGTTGACTCTCTCTCAGCAAATTCTGTCCATCTATGTGTCTGACAGTCCTGTTTAACTATAGTGTCAATCAATTTGCCCAGTGCTGATGTTAGATTTACTGGTCTGTAGTTGCCAGGATCGCCGCTAGAGCCCCTTTAAAAACTGGTGTCACAAGAGCTCTCACAGGCAATGGGGCATGCAATCGGCATGCATACACCCGTAACTTCAGGTGTCCCTGCTCTGTGTGTGCGGCGCTTGAACAACACCGGTAGGGAAAACACTGCGCTGACGGAAGCTGCTGGAATCTGGCAAGCCTGCGCATGGGCAATGGTAAGTCAAATGTCTCGTGGCCACACGCAGAACCTCAATGGGCCACACGTGGCCTGTGGGCCACACACTGCCCCCCACTAAGTTATGCTGACCCCAAACAGCAGGTTTCACTTTCTTTTACCCAGTAATTCCTGCATCAAGCTCTGTCTGAGTTAGAATATCTTGTTCCAGAGGCCTCGACTGATTCAAGGTGTGGGCGTACCATGGATTTATACAGCGGCATGGTAAGATTTTCTGTTCTAATTTATCTGTCCCTTTCCTAATACTTCCGAACATTCTTTTATTGCTGCTACAGACTGAGCAGATGTTTGCAGAGAACCATCCACAAAGACTCCAAGATCTCTTTCTTGAGTGGGAACAGCTAATTTAGATCCCATCATTTTGTATGTATAATTAGAATGATGTTTTCCAAGGCTCATTCAGAAGTCTTGGGTGAATACTGTCTGGCCCTGACGATTTAAGACTTTCATTTATCCATGTGTGACGACGCGTTGGGGTCCCCGCCTCCTGCACCCCCGAAATGGCACGAACAGACTCCGCCAGCCAGTAGAATAGAGGTGGTTTATTGCCTCTCCAGCATACAGCACAGCACAGATGTCATCTGGTTGCAGGGCAGGCCTAGGATGCCTCAGCCCCCCTTGATATGTGTGTGGGGGGGGGTCTCGGCTTCTAAACCCCCCAGCTTGTTGCTGAGGCTGCTTCCTCCATGCTCCCAGACAGAAACTAACTCACCCTCCTCCAGCCCTGCCCCCCAGCCAGGGCAGCATCCACCTTCCTTTGTTCCTCTCCATGGGGGTTAGCTGGTTGGACAGGACACCCTTTGCATAATGACACATCCCTGTCCTTCTGGGCTGTGGTACCGGCGGCAGCCAGTGGGGTTACCACAGACCCATAGAAACCAGCAAGTTCCCCCCCACTACGTCACACCATGTTCCAAAACATTCTCTATTGACACCTCAAAATGGGGCAGTTCCTCAGATCTGTCACCTGAAAAACGGGCTCAGGTATGGGATTCTCACCTACATCCTCTGCAATGAAGACCACTGCAAGAATTCATCTAGCTTCTTCTCAATGGCTTTGTCTGGAAGGCTTCCTGCATCTGACGTAGTCACATTTTTTGTTACTGTTAGTTTTTGTGTCCTTTGCTGGTTGCTCTTCAAATTCGTTTTTGGTCTGTCTAATTATATTTTGGCATTTGACTTA